CTTTGCTCGTCTCTTCTTTTATGATTAGCACACTAAAAGCATTCCTGTAACAATGTGAACCTATGCTTTGAAGGTCTCTCTTTACCTGAAGGAGTTTTAATCCTGTAAGTGTTTCCTGGTTACTGCATCAGGGGACTGAGTCATTTTATGGGTAAGGATCTAGAAGAGGCCAGGCCGTGTCTGGGTGTTTGGAGTCCGGACTGGGGAAGAGATGGTAATAGAAACCGTCACCTGCACACCAGGGAGGACCCTGTGTCTCAACCCCACGTGAGACGTGTTTTAGGATGGCCTCATGGAGGAGCAGCACCCCCTGCTCTAGCCATGAAGTCACACAGCCCCTTAATGACTCGCCAGATTGTTGAAGGAAAGTCTAGAACTGAAAACAGGGCTCCTTTTTAACCGTGATCTAATTGTGAAAAAGCACAGATGGCTACTGACAGTTTTCAAATATTAGGCATTTGCTGGTTTTAAAAATAACCACGAGAAGGGAAAACCAAGGTAAGAAGAGAGACTGAAAATCAAATAGCCACGTTAGGTGGAAACAGCAAAACAACCCGCGGAGTGTGGAGCTGCCCCAGTGGCTCCTGCACACTCGAACCCCTGGGCATTGAGCTCTCTGGGGCAGAGGCATCCGCTGATAAGTCTGCAGAGTCTGTTCACCTGAGAGTCTGACTGTTGGGCGTGGCGGGAATGTTAATTGGCCTCCGAGTGAACTGGGGCGGTACAGTTAGGATTCTTACTCCCTGTGGCAATCCTGTTAATATTTAAAAATAAAGCACTAAGTCTATTACAGAACACTCTAATTTAATTGTTGCATTTCAGAGGGACATAGTTGCAGTACAGCATCCTGCCCGAAAGTCTTGCAGCCCCGAGAGTCTGAACTCTCAGTCTCTCCCGTGTTTTTCTGTTTCTCACTGTGGGGTACGAGGGGCCGGGACCCGAGGGGCAGCAGCCTCAGGAGTCAGCCCCTTGTGCTTGGTGAGCCTGCGGCGTGAGTGCGGAGAGCCCTGGCAGCTGCCGTGCAGAGACCAGCTGTGAAGAGAGGCCCACCGGGCTGTGTCTTCATTAGACGGGCCCTCCTCCCTCCCCTGTCTCTTACTCCTGAGCTCGTGCATTTGCTATGATAGACTATTTTTTCCCTCTTTTTTATAGGGGAAAAAAAAATATTTGAAAGGCAGAGAGACAGAGACAGATCTTCCATCTGCTGGGTCATTCTCCAAATGCCCACCACAACCCGTGCTGCGCCAGGCTGAAGGCAGGAGCCTGGAATGGCTGCCAGGGTCTCCCAGGTGTGGGGAGCAGGGACTCAAATTCTCGAACCATCACCTGCTGCCTCCTAGGCACGGTAGCAGGAAGCGGCATTGGAAGGGGAGTAGCCTGGACCCGAAGCAGGCACTCTGTACCAGGTCCCATGTGGCAGCTTAATCTGCGGCTGAACCACAACAGCCACCCACGGTTTTCCTTTGGAAATGTTGAGTTTTGTGTCTTCACGATTGAGCAGTCTGAGACGTTGGCTGGTTCTGAGAGCAACTAGTAGTCCCTGACGGCTGGGGTGGGGCAGGGCGCAGGCTTGAAGAGCGCTTCCACGTCACGCTAAACATGGGGAATTTGGACTTCACCTTGAAGTCTTTGGAAAGCTGATCAAGGGCTTTTAGTGAGGGAGCAAAGGGAGGGTTTATTTGTAATTTCCTTTTGTTCCCCGGTGAACTTACAGGTAAGGAGTAAATGTCATTCTTGGCTGTGGAAATCAAACACTGAATTTTTTTTCAACCATAAAATAGCCATTGAGTGCTTTAACTTCCTATGTGTGCGTTCCCACGGTTTTTATTCCATATGTTACAGCTCTTAGGGTTCTCAGTCTGCCGGGATTCAGGTTTGGTTGGCGATTTAGGTCATCCAAAATCAAACTTCCCCAACTTTTTATCACGAGCAAATCCAGACACACAGGTGGAGTTAAAGGATGGCGCGGTGAGCGTGCCACTTCCCATCTCAATCCGGCGTCGCCACCGTTCATTGCTGTCACTGCGGCTCCACTTCTCTCCCAAGCCGCGTGAAGCTAAATTACTGACAGATGAGACCGCTAACCCCTTACACGGCAGTGCGCGTGTCTCCTGTGCAGCGTAAATTCTGTTACCGCAGTTCAGAAAGTCAGCTGTACGTCCCACGTCCGTGTCTGGATTCCACAGTGGGGCCAGGATGCTATACAGCTGCCACTCCCCCCGGATCTCAGCTGGCATCTGGTCTGTCTCTCTGGCCCCTTCCCTCCCGCCTACGGCCGCAGTAGTAACTTCCTGGAGAGGCCAGGCTGCTTGCTTCGTGCGTGTTGACCGCTACATCCTGGGATTGCCCGCTGTCACTTTAATGTTCTTAATCTCCTGTATTTTTATATCATACAGTAGTTAAATAGTACACTATATATAGCTTATATGGTTTATAAACTATATATAACTTATATGTATAGTTTATATAGTTGTGTAATAAACTATAAGATAGTTCTGTAAGCTGTGTTAGATTTTTTTAAAATTTCCGGGCACTAGTACTGTGAAGGCGGTATTAACTTGTCAATGTCAGCGAGTGACATTCATCTTGCTTCCCTTGGTTAAATAGTACCTATCTGATCTCTCCATTATGAATGCATATGTTTCCTCTCCCTGTGGGAGGGGCCAGATTTGTGGCCTAGGTGGGTAAGGTTACTATCTTCCATGCCAGCATCCCTTATTAGCCCCGGTTCGAGTCCCGGCTGCTCCACTCTGATCCAGCTCTCTGCTAATGGCCTGAGAAAAGCAGTGGAAGATGGCCCAAGAGCTTGGGCTCCTGCTACCCACATGGGAGATCTGGAAGAAGCTCCTGGCTCCTGGCTCCTGGCTTTGGCCTGACCTAGCCCCAGCCATTATGGCCATCTGGGAAGTGAACCAGAGGATGGAAGACCTCTCTCTCCCTCTCTCTGTAACTCTGACCTTCAAATAAATAAATAAATCTTAAAAAAAAAAAAAAAAGTAACCTGTGGGAAGAACTTGTCTTTGCTATTGCAGGGTGTGCTGTCCTGGGCGCCGTGAGGCATCATGGGTGTGGGTCTCCCTCCTAGAGTGGATTGGCCCTTCTGTTTCTGGGACTTGGTGGGTCCTAGCTTGCTTTAACACGTTTAACATCATCACTCAGCTACAGGACGGAAAGCTAACATCTGATCTTTCCGTATTGAGCAGAGACTGTGCGAGTAGATGACAGAAGAACAGCCCGGCATTCTGTCTGGCTCAGAGAATCCCGCTGGGGGCGGGGCCTGCACCCAGAGGTCAGCAGAAGGCCTGCTGAGGTTTCGCCTCCCAGCCTGGACAACTTCACGTGCTTTCTCCAGGGTCTCACCTGCACCTCTGGAAAGCACGGTTCTGATTGTATGTGTTTGGCAGTTTGGGTATTAATATCGGCTGGAACGATGCCTTCTTGGAAATACTTAAATTCTCGACAAGCAGGGAACCTCATTAGTGTGTTACAATCTTCCAGGCTACCAATAATGTGATTATAATATATTATCCCCACGCAGCACGAAGAATAATCTCCTTTCCCAAAGAGGATCAGGAGGGAGACGGCGGACGGTCCGCAGCAGCATATCTGAGCTCTCTGGAGGCCGGACTGCGGGGACTGGCTGGGCAGAGCTGAAGCTGGACGCGCCAGGATGCTGATGGGTCCCTGGGTGGCGCTAGGGGAAGGGACGGGACCAGGGGGCTGACTTGGCGCCGGAGCAGTGACTTAGTGCAGAAAGCTTGGCTAGGTTTTTGTACGCCCCCCCCCCCCATGTGAAAGTGTATGTTTTATTTATTTGAAAGTCAGTTAGTTACACACAAACAGAGAGAGAGAGAGAGAGAGAAAGGTCTTCCATCCGCTGGTTCACTCTCCTATTGGCCACAATGGCCGGAGCTGTGTTGATCTGAAGCCAGGAGCCAGGAGCCAGGAGCTTGGGCCATCTGCTTTCCCAGGCCACAGCAGAGAGCTGGTCAGAAGTAGAGCAGCCGGGACTGGAACCGGCGCCCATATGGGACGACGGAACTGCAGGCAGCGGCTTTCCCCACTACGCCACAGCGCCGGCCCCTGATCATTGTTTTAAAATATGAAAGAAAAACCGTGTGCTAAGGCGTCATTCATGAAGTGTGCGCGTAGATGCTGTGCACAAAGGCATTCCCAGTAATGCTGGAGACTGAAGTTTGGGGTCAGCTCGGACAGATTCGGCCCCTCCTCCTCATACGAGGGCTCTGTGATGATGGACGCGCTGCATTGTAACAGAATGGAGCGCACAGGCAGCTGTCATGCCACGCAGGGTACAGTCTCCGAACATCTCGGGGTGTGTCCAGAACTGTTCCTCTTTTTCCTTAACACGGCACGATGCATACGTTGCCATGCGTTACAATTTTTTAAATCAGACCAAAGGCCAGCACTTCTAAAGCAGTAACCTAAACGATCGCTGGTTTGCCACAGCATGACTCTGCACATTTGGATCAGTCGCCGTTATGGTTCTGCTCTCCTAGGTAGCGCTGAGATAAACATCCGTGAACGCACCCCGTTCCCGGACACCTGCACGTAGGAGCTGTTGGGTTAGATCGGGGTGGGGTGCCTTTTTTCTGCCTAGGGCCATTTGGACATAATATAAATAATATAATATAAATAACATCATTCACGGCCACACAAAGGATCAAATTAGCCTGCTGTCGATTTGTTGAATTTTGAGTCCCGCCTGCGGTTGCCTTGCCAGGGCCAGACCAAAGGATTCTGGGGGCCTTAGACGGCCACGGGCCAGACGCTCCCCACCCCTGGGGCAGAGTATGAATCACCCTCCAAAAGCTATACTTATTTACCTCCCCGTCAACAAAGTGTAACACCTGTCCCCACCAGTCATTTGAATCATTTATAGACAAGCGGCTTCTGGCTGCCTTCTGGAATTTTCTGTTACCTATTTGCAGAGCGTCAGAAGGGATCGAGCCGTACACAGGCGGCGTCTCCGAGCTGGAGAATCTACAAGCTCCCTGATGAAGAGGAAGCTACCAGGAGACCAGAGCTGCTGCCGTGGTCCGTTTTGGTTGCTAATAACAGGGTGGCACAGGCTGGGTAACTTACAAAGAAGGTTTATTTTGGCTCACGGTCCTGCTCCAAGGAAGAGGGCCTGCGCTGGCGAGGACTTCTGGCTGGCGGAGTGCTGAGGCCTCGCCGGGCTTCCTGCGTATGTGGGGCGAGTGTTCTGGTCCCTCTCCCTCTCCTTATAAAGCCACCAGCGTCCAGTGCCGGGGCCTCCACCCTGATATGACTTTCCCTAACCCTAATCACTGCCAACACCCCACCGCTAAGCACCATGGTCAGAGTCACGGTCACGTTAAACATCCACCCTCCCTCTGGGCACTCACAGTGGGGCTTAAACTCCACCAGGAGTTTTTGGGGGAGAGGGCAAACCGTGAAATGCAGGTTCTTGGCATGGTGAGAGAGGAGGGGAAGACAACAGAGGATTCGCTGCACTCGTGTGACTCAAGGTCACCCTGCATAGCTCCAGCACGCCTCACGTGCCAGGGTGCGAGGGGAAGGCGGTGGCTCCCAGCCTGTGTTTGTCCGTCTAGTTCAGGCTCCACTCCCCTGTGTCAGTGGCCCCGGATGGAGAGCTGGCAGCAAATGACAGGGAGACCTGCCGTACAGAGGGAGGACGCAGGGCATGGCAAACCTGGGGTGCATGTAGACCAGTTTTTCCAAAATGAAGAGAGGCGAAAACCAAGTTTCTCATTGTGAGCTTTTGAGCTGCAAGAGGCTTGGTTGTCGAGTGATCCTCAAGTTCCCAGGGAAAAGGGAGAAGACTGAATTCCGAGGGGTGTGTGGAATTCATAGAAGCCCGTCCGATATGATGTGGTCTTACGTTTGGGAAGCATTCCTTGTGAATGTGTACTGATAGCATTTTTACTTAGGAAGCATTTTCGTGATGCAACAGGTGAGGTAGGTTGGTATCCACAGGCCTCCTGTGCTGTCAGTGGTGGGGTCAGGGCTTGGCTGAAAGGTTAAGGAACCTCTGAGCAGTCAGCGCTGGCGCAGTGCAGGCTAGAACCTGGTCCAGAGGTCAACAGGACTCAGGCCAGGGCCCTTGGCCTCCTGCATCTAGGAATTCTCTCTCTTTCCGTCATGACTATCATGTAGCATGTGAGGGGTCTTTAAGAGTAGAACACGCCTACTATGGAGGAAACTATGCCTATATTTCAGGCATTTTTTTTCCTTTGTGGAGGTTTTGGCCCAGCAGATAGGGTGCCTGCGTCCCGTGTCAGAGGGCCTGGTGCAGGTTCTGGCTCCGTTCCCAATTCCAGCTGCTTGCTAACGTGCACTCTGGCAAGCAGCAGGCGATGGCTCAAGTTGTTGGGCGCTTGCTACCCACATGGGAGACCTGGATTCCTTCTGGCCCATTCCTAGCTGTGGGCATTTGGGGCAATGAACCAGTGATGGGTGAGATCTCTCTGTCTCCCCCCTCCCCTTCCTCGCTGTTTTCTCTGTCTCTTGTTCTGTCTTTTCAACAACAACAACAAAAATCTGGGGGGCTGACAGTGTGGTATAGTAGACTAAGCCTCTGCCTGCAGTGCCGGCATCCCGTGTGGGCACCGGTTCGAGTCCTGGCTGCTCCACTTCTGATCCAGCTCTCTGCTATGGCCTGAGAAAGCAGTAGAAGATGGCCCAAGTGCTTGGGCCCCTGCACCCACATGAGAGACCTAGACGCTCCTGGCTCCTGGCTTCAGATCAGCCCAGCTGTGGCCATTGCAGCCATTTGAGGAGTGAACCAGCAGATGGAAGACCTTTCTCTCTGCCTCTCCCTCTCTCTGTAACTCTACCTTTCAAATAAATAAATAAAATCTTTGAGAAAAATTTTGTACCAAAAATACACATCTTTTAATTCAGTTTTTCCATAGATTGCTTGAAATGCTTTGTTGCTGTGGGCCATTCCCAAGGGCCGGAATCCTAGAGCCCTTTGTCCATGGGTCTGTCCTGCAGTTCTGGTTCTGAGAGGCTGTGGCTCTGCCCAGGCCTTGTGGACAGGAGGACTGAGACGCTGCGGCCGCTACTGGCGACGCTTCCAGAATGGAACGTTGTGGAGCTGACTCAGGGCGGCAGCTGCACACCTGATGCGCTCACCTTGCTCTCGCCCCCAGTGCGCCAGACAAGAGTGCAGTGCTGAGTGTCTCATTAATATCGATCATCGCATTCGATAAATCCAGTTTGGCCAGGATAGTCCTTCATCCCCCCCTCCATTACCTATTTGTGTATTTTTTAGGAGTTTTTAATTTAATGAATCCATATTTCATATGTACAGCTTTTAGGAATATAGTGGTCTCCCCATTACCTATTTAAAAACAATAAACTGTTACAGTAAAAGTTGTTAGCCACAGAAGAAAGAAGGAAAAAATCAGCTCACATCATTGTGACACCCAGCATCTAAGCTTATTGGTAAATTTGCTGCTTTTTTTAAAAAAAATATTTATTTATTTATTTTAATTACATAGAAGGAGAGACAGAGAGAGACGGATATCTTCCATCCACTGGTTCACTCCCCAAATGGCTGCAATGGCCAGGCCTGGATCAGGCCAAAGCCAGGAGCTAGGAGCTTCATCCAGGTCTCCCACATGGCTGCAGAGGCCCAAGCACGTGGGCCATCTTCTGCTGCTTTCCCAGGTGCATTAGCAGGGAGCTGGATCGGAAGTGGAGCAGCCAGGACGTGAACTGGTGCCCATGTCGCAGGTGGCTGCTTGGCTCACTGTGCCACAGTCTCTATTCAAGGAACTCGCAGCCAGTGGAGGGAGAGCGAGCTGGGTGGGAGGATAGGCATCAGCCAGCCCAAAGACGGGACCGGACGGTGCTAGCACAGGAGGGATGATACCAGGAAGTGCTAAGTGGCACGAGAGTTCAGTGTGGGCAGCGTCAGCGCACTTTCCCCCAGAGCGGTGTCAGCAGCAGCAGGAGCCAGATCGGGGCCAGCGCCCGGGACCCCTTCCAGGTCAGGGTGCGACCATGCCCACGTGGCAGCAGAGCCCACGTCCTAGTGTTAGCTCCAGAGAGCCGTGCTGATGTCACTGTCTTCAAACCTTGACCTTACCCCCATGGGGAGCAGGTACTTCTCTGAAGCAGGGTTCCACCACAGTTTGGGTGCCGTCCTCGCTGAGCCCCTCGTCTGAGTGTGTGTGGATGTCTGCTGTTGATTGTGCTGTTAGGAGTTTTATAGTGGCTGGCGCTGCGGCACGGTGGGCTAAGCTGCCACCTGCAATACCAGCATCCCACACGAGCGCCAGTTTGACTCCCAGCTGCTCCACTTCCTGTCCTACTTCCTGCTTCTGTGCCTGGGAAGGAAGTGGCTGATGGTCAAAGTGCGTGGACCCCTGCCACCCATGTGGGAAGACCCGGATGGAGTTCCAGGCTCCTGGCTTCTGTCTGACCCAGCCCTGGCCATTGCAGCCACTTGGGGAGTGAACCAGTGGATGGAAGATCTTTCACTCTGTCTCTCCCTCTCTGCCTATAATTCTGTCTTTCGAATAAATAAATATTTTTTTAAGTTTTACAGTAAGCTTTTATTATGAATAAGAATTTATATGTTGTCTGTATAGGTGATGAAAGCTGGAGTCTTTATCAGCTAAGTGATTGCCACAGTCCACGCAGCTGGTTAATATATGTTAAGATAACATTTTCATGTCTAATCTCATGTACAGTTTAATAATTTAACAGATAACATACTAGCAAGTCAGGGCAAATGTTTGCAGCATACTTCAGAGCTGTTAATTTTTACCACTTAAGATTTTTTTTAGGAGCTGAGAGGGTGGAACACATCACCTGTGGTCAGCTGGGTGGTTTTCTGCCTCACATAGGAAGGACTAGAAAAGCAAAAGATTCGTCAAATTGAGGTTTTTGCCCAAAATAATTCTGGGACTTCTGTGTTGTGTTAGTGTGGGTATGTTTCTGTTCCTTCCCTCCAGTTTCCCTTAAACACTTTTTGTGTGAAGGTTGTCACACAGGTGCTCCAAACATTTAAGTAGATGTGCAATGGGTATAAATTTTGTTCACCAGAACTTTCCGTATGACTTAAGAACATTGGATAGTGTGAGTATCCGCCATTACTTTAAGTAGATTTGAAATGCAGGCATTCATGATTCACACTGGATCATGAAACTTAGCAACATTGTAGAAGGTTTATTAAAGAGGCAGACGGACTGAGAGCTCCCATTCCCCAAATGCCCACAGTGGCCAAGAACTCAGTCCAGGCCTCCCCTTGTGGCACAGGGACCCAGTTACTGAGCCGTCATCGCCTGCTGCCTCCCAAGGTGTGCGTTCGCAGGAAGCTGCAGGAATCGGGAGCGGAGCTGGGACTGAAAGCCTGGCGCTCCAGTGTGGGTGCTGGCATCCCAGCTGTCGGGCCAACGCTGTGTAAAACACAGAATCCTAGCTGTGTCACGGATGTTGGCACCTGCTGCTGCCAACTCGGCAGCCAGTTACACTGAATACTGACAGTGATGAACCAGGCAGAAGCAATCCGTCGGCGCAGTCAAGGATGCTAACTGTGCATGCAGAGTGCTGAGCTCCTGGGAGGAGAGAGCACGTTTGTTAAGAACGCTGGCTGTAGGGACAAAGGCCTCTCGTGAAATCTTGGCTCCACGTGGTCAGCTCTCTGTCGGACTTCAGTCCCCTTGTCTATGGACCGAGGGTAATGACTGAGCTACCTCTCAGTTATCGGGGGGTGCAGTGTGCACAAAAGTGTTTGGAAAGACGGTAGGGTGCACGCACTCCTAAATGCATTCTGTCTTTCTAAGCAGAACGAGCAGGCTGGTTGGTTACAGAACACCTGTCATGCAGACCAGGGCGGTGATGATCTGAGATGGGGGTGAGGTTCAGTTATTTTGCAGGCTCTGTTTTTGTCTCAGGATTGGTCAAGATAGGCAGTGCAGGTCCTGCAGATCATAGCACGGCAAACCTGGTCCTTTGATGTGTACTGTTCTCAGATTCCCTTCACTCTCATTCTGTCCTATACCGCAGGAGGGACAGAGCGAGCCATCGTCCCGTTTTCT